TGAATCGCTTTATAGAAAATATCTTTAACAGTCCCCTCATCATCTCGATTTTGATTTGTCGTTCCCCCCTTTTTTCAAGGATAGTTTATACCGAATCGAATAATTCATAAAAGACGAATTACTATTGCTACAAAACGGAACAAAATTTTGTAAATAAGAACCGAAGTTTTTATAAACAATATTTTATATCACGAATTGATTCAACAAACCTCTTCTCCAAGTAAATTGATTCCAAGGTTTGCTATAAAGGTAAAGTGCAAAGAAAACGCACCCCGATGGTAAAACCTATGTAAAGAGGTTCATTTCTCTATATGTTGCCATCTAAAATAAAGTAACCCACAAATTTGTAATGGCACAGGAATATAAACCTGTTTCCCTTTTGAGAACAGGGGTCACACTATATGCATTTACGCAAAACACATACAACACATACCCTAACTTAAACACTTTTCAGTTGTCTCTTAGGAGCGGCTAACTCTTGTACAAACATAGTTGACAAGAAACCCTTCTCCACTTCAGTCTTCAAAGTTCTCATTTGAATAGTTGCTACTTCCACCAAGATCTGCACTAGGGATATGTTCCACGAAAACTCACGTATTTCGCTTCGACACAAAACCCCACGATTTTCTACTCATAAAAGAATTTTAATGAGAAAAAAACAAAAAAAAAATGGAAACCATTTTTTTTTCCCCTTTTATTCTCCTACTCTTTTATGGCCTGGTATCGGTAATTCGCTTTAGCGCCATCCATTTTCAGGGCTAGTTCATTCGGTAGGTAAGTTGTTACACACTCCTTAGCGGATTTCGACTTCCATGACCACCGTCCTACTGTCATAATGAACCAACACCTTTTATGGGATCTAATGAGCGAATATTTAGGCACCTTATCCAAGCGTTAGGAGCATCCCTCATCGCCAGTTCTGCTTACCAAAAATGGCCCACTTGGAGTTATTTTATTTATACGTGAGTAAAATACAAGTTAAGATATTTTACCCTTTTTACCTATTGGGAGTTTGAGAATAGGTCAAGGAAAACGATTTCCCTGATTCCTCTAATCATTATCTCTACCTGGTAAAATTATATTAATCAACTCCAGCGATCCTGAGAGATCTTTCGAAAATAACCAGCTAATAGGCTTTTCGATTAGTCTTTCGCCCCTAAACGTGACTGAAATGAACGATTTGCACGTCAGTATCAATTCGATCTTCCATCAGACTTTCGTCTGACTTCAATCTCGTCACGCTTAGTTCAAAGCCTCTCGGGTCCTACCAAATATGCTCTTACTCAATATGGCATAATTGCCTACCGGTATTGTATGCGCCAGCAGAAAAAAAAAGAGTTTACCTTTTTTTTTATACGGGTTCTACAAATTATAATATATTACATTAATTTTGCGTATAAAACAAAAAAATCACGTTTTTCAACGTAATTTTTTAATATTAATGTTTAGAATATATCATATACACTCGCACATTTGCTAGACTCCTTGGTCCGTGTTTCAAGACGAGTGGGTTAAAAGAGTATTCGTTAGAAACAACTTAAAATGTGTACAGCTGTAAAAAAAAAAAAAAGAAAGAAAAATATTCACAAGAAATATTTTTCTTTTTTTTTTTTTTTATATTTACAAAACAAAATACACATTTGTAATTTTATAACCTCAGTAAAATGATCTATCTATCACTTATTTTTATTTCGTGATTTCTATAAAAACCGTTTTATCCTTTTTTTAATAATAAGGATAATTGTGAAAAAAAAAAAAAGAAAAAGAGTATTAATTTTTTTTTTATCCTGGGATAAAAAAAAATTAAATTCTTTTCTCCTGTTTTTTGCACAATAGTTTTTATCCGAATAGAATTGTAAAAACTTTTTACTGATGTTTCTTTTAATAATGCGGTTAGAAAAACTAATGATATTGCTGCAATAGTCATAAGTTAACTACATTACTTTTTTTCTCTCTTAATCCGTTCCACCTTAACGATTTCAGGTACTTTTTAATTGCTCATTCCTGAGTACTATTTCATCTTTCCCTCACGGTACTTGTTTGCTATCGGTCTCCTACACATATTTAGCTTTATGTGAAATGTATCACACGTATTTGTGCTCCAATCTCAAAGAACACGACTCTTTTCATTATAGAGGTTTCCTAATGTAACTCTAAACCATATTTGCTACGGGCCTTTCACCCTCTTTGGGAGAGGCATTCCACCTCGTTTCGTAAATATGCTTTATATTTCGTGTTACCAGGAGGTTACTATAATATTTATACACGACATCTCCTTGCCCTAATCCTATGTAAAATAGGTAAAAACACGGATTTCGCTTGAGCTTTTCCTTGTTCACTCGCCGTTACTAAAGGAATCATTGTTATTTTCTTTTCTTCCGCTTAATTATATGCTTAAATTCGGCGGATTCGCTCTCCTATATAAATTACAGAACATGTATATAAAAAAAAAAACGGTTGATATACCCCAGATAACTATAATAGCCCATTACTACAAATACAGACTATACAATTATTCCTCAAGATAATACGACATTGACGATGATTAAACGGTAACATCATAAAATGTTATTTTACGGGTATTCAATCTATGTTAGCAATGCCCCGGAAGGGGTATTACACTATAGATTGATACAAAATAACACTCTAGTTAACGTGGTCAGTGCTGGCTACTGTACCGAATTGATATAACTTCTTAAACACATAGATATGTATGTGAAAGTCGTATATACCAATTTACAATACATAGCACAACTTAACAGAGTTTGCTTTTGCAGCGACATAAATCTGCAACGTACAATCCTCATATGAGTGTGTTTATACACACTCAATTGAGGGTACTCTATAGCAGGAATATGACCTCTGCGGCAAAACCTTTTCCCCAAAAAAATGGGTAGAAAAATTGTTTTAGATTTACTTATCTCTTAAGGACGTGCACACCGAAAGACCAAGAAGGATAAATTGATATGTGTTTGAAGGCTCTCCACTACGTACACCTAAATGTACATAGGGTGAAAACACCAATATATGTACACATATAGTGTAACACAAAAGGTGTACACCCTTCGCACACGTACCAACGTCTCCCCACAAGGCTTCGTACATATAATTTATATACACCGAAGTATATATATTTATATGTATATATCTGATACAGTTAACAGCCAACATTGACCGAAACATAAAGACTTACAAGAAGGTTTCTATTATGCCCTGTAGTAAGATCCTTTTTCGCTACGTGGAAACTTCTTAAACACGAGTTGATATACTCCTCTTTCGAGGTCACGGTTATTTATTCTTAATAATTGGTCGATTTCTTTCTGTTTACACAAATAAATTTCCATATCGAAAAATAGCTACAATTAACGCGGCTTTACAAGCAAAATTACCATAACATATACTTCTATACATTAAGATACTTTAAACGCATTTACAAACAATGTCATAAATACGTTGCCACTTACCCATTACTGAAGCCTTTATATACCATTGCCTAATATGTGCAACGGTTAGGTTATCCAGTAAGTGCATCATGGCCAAAATGTAATTGGCCCAACCCATTATCAGGGGTTCATGCCCAAAAACATCATTGCTTGCACCACTCCTTGTTATACTATTAAACTTTCTTTACATGTTGATAAGCACCGCTGCCTATAACAACAAACTGACTGCCTCATGCTAACCTTATTAATACCACCCCATACCCTACAAAAAAATGCAGAGTTCATATACCTTCCCTACAAAAAAAAATGCAGAGTTAATATATTTTCCCCTACACAAATGCAGAATTTGGTGAAATTGTCGAAATGTCGTACTGTTAAAATTTATACATACTTAGTATTATTAGATATTTACTATGCGTGTTAAATTGAAAATTTTTAAGTGTTATAATAATTGTGTACCTAGTCCATTCTGCCCTTTAATAATAACAAATTTACACTTTCGCCTTATGTTTTCACTTTGTGTCAAGCCCTTTTTTTTTTACCACCTAAATTGCTGATCATACACCACACACCATTTCATTATGTCATCTTCGAATTTATTGCTCGTTGCACCACTTCAGTTTTAATGCACACATTTTAGAATATTCATAATGGAAATATAAATAATTTACAATAATGCATAAAAAAAAATGCTTAAATAATCTATATGAAAAATTGTCTTGAACAACAGATTCAAAACTATATTTAAATTTCGCAAACATTTTTAACTAGTGTGTAATTAGTATATAATTAAATTTGATGTGCTTGTAATATATCTATTAATAATAACAGTTAATTGATACATACAAATTCTTGAAAAATGCAAACTCATACGTCTTCTTTTCTAGTGGTAAGGTGTTACAAATCTTGTGTATATAAATATATATCTTTTAATAATAAAAAGTTAATTGATACATACATTTTTGAAGGACGCAAACTCATACGTCTTCTTCTGTAGTGGTAAAGTGTTACAAATCTTGTGTATATAAAAGTATATATCTTTTAATAATAAAAAGTTAATTCATACATACATTTTTGAAGGACGCAACCTCATACGTCTCCTTCGTAGTGATAAAGTGTTATATATTAAAGTTGTAGGCTAAAAAGTTAATTCCAAAATCGTATTTGCTTTTATATCTTAAAAACATATACTTCATTTGTCTCATAAAAGTTAAAACTACATCATTAATAAAAATTAACATCAGTACGTTTAAACATAAAAAAATGAGCTTAACTAGAATTTATAGGATTAGTTACCAATTATTAAATAAATTATTTATAGCGCCTAATACGGCTATACTATATATAAATAAACTTACCTTTTTTTTATAAAATACTGTTGTCCACTTCCAGGTTCCAACAAGTATAAAAAATTATATAAATTGAGATATACTATTCAAACACATAGTGTAATACACTATTGATATAAGGTTAACTAATATTTGTTGAGCAGATATATATATATATATATAATCATAAACTATATTATTTGTCGATAGTTTTGAGTTTCCTCTATTCCTATGATGTCATAATTGTGTTTTTAACAGATTATCATCTTGATATATATACATATATATATATTTAAGTAAGGAGCTTTTATATATATAGTCCATATTAATTAATATGTCTATGTTTTCCCTGCCATGTCAAGCTCTTACAACCTCCACAATGTCCACACATTTCCCTTTTTTTGTGGTTTTAATTGGTATTCTTAGTTTATAACGCATAAAATAATAGCGAGGAGTAGGCCTTTTCCGAGAGAGCGGATTTATTTATTACCTTTTATTCGTACCATCACCTGATTGTGTACGTTTTTACATTATTTTTGTGCTTTCGTTTGCTACGATATATTATATTGCACCTAGCTTTTATCATTTTCGCCAGTCCCTTTTTGTGCTATGGCACATCTCCTTGACAGTATCATGTCATTTTTAAGTAGTTTAAGTTATTGCTAAGTTTTTTCGTCATCCCACAGTAGTGTGTTTCGTCATCCCACAGTAATGTGTTTCGTCATCACACAGTAATGTGTTTCGTCATCACACAGTAGTTTTTTCTTCATCACACAGTAGTTTTTTTCTTCATCCCAGATAGTAGTTTTTTCTTCATCCCAGATAGTAGTGATTCGTCATCCCAGATAGTAGTGATTCGTCATCCCAGATAGTAGTGATTCGTCATCCCAGATAGTAGTGATTCGTGATCCCAAAGAGTAGTGATTCGTCATCCCAAAGAGTAGTGATTCGTCATCCCAAAGAGTAGTGTTTTGTCATCTTTTAATATCTCGAAGTAGTCCCCATATGACCAAGATCATTATTACAGCGTTTTGAGACTTTACTGCTATGTCAATATGGTACTATATGTATTTTCCCATATGACCAGATCATTATTACAGCGTTTTTACTTTACTGCTATGTCAATATGGTACTATATCCATTTTTCGCTTGCTCCTTAAACAGTAATATGTGTGATCCGATAAGAACATGTCTCTAACGTTGCCCTGACGTACACTCCTGTGTAACCTCGTCATTTTAGAGACGTCTTCATGGTTAGAGGTAACCGTTCTGGAGTTCCCATATATATATGTATATGAAAAAGAAAAAAAAAATTGATCACACGTTTTATAATAATACCGTGTTGCACGTAGCAACTAGTTACCCTTCTTTAGTGCGCTCCCGTATTCTTAGGTACGGCAAGCCACCTTGGAAAGGAACCATGGTACATTATTATAAACACTGAAAAAGTATGTGTCTTTAACACACAAACTTCAAAAATATTATACATATACACTTTTTTTTTATAAAAAAAAAAAATAATAACGGGTTTTAAACGTAGGAACTCCAGAATTGACGTTAAAAGAACTACCTATGCTGCCAGTGTCTGTTGCTTTTGTTTTTCTGGACTTATACATTTTAGCGATTTTTATTACTGTTTAGGAATTATCTTTCTTCTCTATTTGCAAGCGTCGTGTGTCGCTCTCTCGTCACTTATATAAAAGAATTAACAAAACATGTACTCCCCCCTTGTATATTCTGCACGCTGTGGCAACTGTTTGTTTTCTGTTGGCCCCTGCTACGTCTTATATGCAAGATAGTTTGTTCTCATGTGAATATATAAATATATTCTAAGATATAACCTCAACAAGCAATGTAGAGTTTGTTATCAGAAAAGAAACAGTTACACATGTACAAAAATATAATATATATATCTTCTTCACTTTATGTGTTTCATTTATTTATTGATATCACTACAATTTTTTCATTCCATATAAATCATATAATAGTAGATTACTCAAACATATATATAAAAGAAAAGGTTTCTTGTGTCAATTTTAATTATGTCAACTTTAGGATACATCACCTGCAAAAGGTGATTTATGATTCAATATATATTAATAATGTTTTTGTGACATACGTTACCTGGATTTTTAAATACGATGTTTGGATCCCATCATATTTAATACAAAATCTTTTTAGAAAAGATATGTAATCCCATCTTGTTGAATCTGTAAAAAAAAAAAATATGCCTTTTCTCATGTTTAATATGTGCTTTTGTCTACATTGTATGAATATATGGTTATATATAAAAAACTTAACATTTCTTGGTTAATACTTCGATAATACAAATCTTGAAAACTTGATATATGTTCTTCATAACTACTACTACTGTGTGTGTTTTCTTTACTTAGCTTTTTTATTTCCTATGCGTATATCCTTAAAAACTCTCCATCGCTATTATCGCTCCTTTACCTTTTTAATTACATCTGTGTAGCTTCTAAGATTACAACCAGTATTATATATATATGTGTTTCCCAATAACCAAAACACCACCAGTCTCTATATTTATATGACCAAGCTGTATAATAAATTGCAACCTTTATTGCGTTAACTTACGTAATCACAAATAAAGTCCCCTAAGTATGATTTAAATAACGCATCGCAACAATTACAATTGGTTATATAACCGGTACTGTAGTTAAAAAACAATTGCATCATCACAAGGCTATATTCCTTATAAATAAGAGTGCTCGCTTTAATATTATTACATGTAACGCTAAATATACATTTGTAATAATTCACACTTATACTAAAAAAGCTTGTCTAAAGTTCATTTATCTACACAATACAACCCTGTAAAAGGCCTATGGTTTACAGTTGTATATTTGTTCTTCTTTTTACCACATGATATAAAATACGGTGTGTATATCTTTTCCACTAACAGATGCACTGCTCATTGACAAATTACAATCAATTATATAACACTTAGTTTTTAATTTTCAATTTAAACACTTTATTATTCGAAGTAGTCAATTGCTTGACATTATCTTTTGAACGTACTTACTAAAAAATTATACATTTTAAATAACTTTTTCCTTTCATAATTGTTCAACGGTTGGTTCTCACGTGGTTATATATAAAATAGTTGTTCCTTTTTAGGATTACAACTTGCATAAACAATAATAGTTAACTCTTGTCCATATAAAATAAAATTAAACTCTTGTCTATATAAAATAAAATTAAACTGTTGTACATATAAATTAATATTAACACTCGTCCATAAAAAATAATATTTAACACGCGTCTATAAAAAATAATATTTACACTCATCTATAAAAAATAATATTTACACTCATCTATAAAAAATAATATTTACACTCGTCCATGAAGAATAAATGTTTAAACACTCGTCCATAAAAAATAATACTTACACTCGTCCATGAAGAATAATATTTACACTCGCCCATAAAAAATAATATTTACACTCGTCCATGAAGAATAGTATTTACACTCGTCCATGAAGAATAGTATTTACACTCGTCCATATAAATTAATATTTACACTCGTCCATAAAAAATAATATTTACACTCGTCCATAAAAAATAATATTTACACTCGTCCAT